GCCCACCGAGCACTAATTGAGGCACCCAGTCGAGAACTCTCTGAGGACTTTTTCGGTGAATTTCCAGCGAGACTTCCGGTGTCGTCTAACAAGATTTAAGCGTATTTTTCTACAAAATGAAAGATACATAGATAAATAAAAGGACAAAACACTAAACAACACGAAAACACGAAAATGAGCAAAACGACTAAATGGACCGGGAAAATCCTAAAATAAAATTAAACGAACACAAATAAAACACTTAAAAACACACAAAATAACAAACATACAAAATAACTCTCAAACATTTAACTCTTTGTTTGTCCTTAAGCAAATAAAACAACAAGAACCTCGAGAAGAATGGTCGAAAGGTCCAAAATTAATGATCATGCGAAATCAAACTCTCTTGTTCATCCGGTTATCCCAAAATTAAACTCAAAATAAAAAATAAGGTCCCCACAAGATGAATTCATACAAAAAAAAACACTTCCCAAGTCATTCTATACATGATTATTCAATTCAAACTCTTTTTTTCTAAATACACGTGCAGAAAACTAAATGAGGTCTACTAATAAAAATATAAGACACAATAATCATGAAACCAACTAGGCCAACTCCCCATTTTTTATATATTTCTTCTTTTTTTTTTTTTACATGAGTCACTTTTTCCAAATGAGAGTCGTTAGGACGATTACTACCTAGGTTTAACCTCGGGGTTTGTCCCCAAGTCTCCTACTATGGTTTCCTGTACTATTTCCGATTTATCGAAAAAGAGACTAACCGGGTCCACTGGAGTTTAGTCCTTTCAACTCTCACGAGCTCATTTTATTCTTTTTTTTTCATGAGCTACCTTTTTTCCAAACAAGGTTTCCGGACGATTATTATCTAGGTATATCCTCGAGAGGTTTCCTCGAATCTCCTAGACCGGTTTCTCGGGCTCATTATCTCATTCCACGATATGGATCGAAATAAGATGAGCCTAATTCGTACTTCTTCGTGAACTCAATTTTTTTTTTTTTTACGAAAGGGAATGACAACACATGGATACATCAAGAGTACAATACATGAACTTCCTTAATCAACCAAGACGTATCATAAGTGTATAAGCATAACACGCAGTGGCGGATTCACATTAAGTCCAGCCTAGGCAATTGCCTAGGCTGAACTTTTACTGCTAAAAATAAACTTGTACTGGCCTTGTTTGTTTTTTGGCTTTTTGGCCAAAACGCTAAAATAGCGGTTTTGACTAAAATCAAAAAAGCTAAAATTGATTGTTTTGTTGTTTGGTAAAACAACTTCTCAAAATAGCTTATGGGCTGAAAACGCCAATATTGCAAACGCTATGATTTGCAGCGTTTGTGATGAGCGTTTTGTACCTTTTCCTTTTCTTTTACACTTTTTGCTTTTCTTTTGCTAATTTAGCATATTCCTAGGCCACTATTTATGCTTTATTTTTTTTTTTATTTCATCATGTTTTAAATTGTGCATAATAATAAATTTTAATTGTGTTGCTTTATTGCTTTTTTTTTTTAAATAAGTATGACGTGAACTTATTACTCAATTAAAAAAATTTATTTTATTATTATTTATATTATATTTAAAATCATTTTAATAAATATTTAAATATTAATTATTTTTATTTTAAACCGTTAACACAATCAGCTAATTTTATCAAACACTTTTTTTACAAACCGCTAACACAATCAGCTAGTCAAAACAACTAATGCAATCCGCTGGTCAAAGCAGCTAATGCAATCCGCTAACATCTAACAGCTAACCGCTAATTACCAAACAAGGCTACTACTTTATTTGATATCTTTGTGTAAAAATGGCGGAATGGGGAAGCATTGCAAAGATAAGCCCTCACTTGTTAGTTTCATCTCGCTCCAACATTTATTTTTTTATTAATTGGTCATCAGACTTTTGGGCTTCTCATTTATTATTACTATTAGATAGATAGATGTTAATTGAGGGTCTTTTACTTTCAAAACTGTAAAAAAAAATTAAAAAAAGAAAATAAATAGAAAAAGAAAGACAAATGGATATGCCACAAATTGTTATTATGATTTTTTTCAGTAAGCTTGCTTATTATTAAGATTGTTGCTTTTTTTTTCTTCTTGCACTGTATGTAATCTCAACTGAAGATTTAGTTGTCATAAACTTAAGAAATATGTAAGAAGATTTTTTTTTTTTAAAAAAAAATCTAACTTTACATCTTGATAATCAATAGGAATTTTAGACTATAAAAATTTGGTGGGGATACTTATCCAGTAGATTCATTTACTTGTTTTTACAGGTTCAATTTTTTTATCAGAAATAACATAGATTATAGATTACTTGGCAGATGTATTATTTAGAGTTGTATGTTCAATGGAAAATCAGTAGTTAGATATTTACTAGGAGCCATCAACTATCAAAAAGTACTAAATTTGGTTAATATAGTATATCATCATTAAAATAGGTAAATTTTTCATTAATATGTATATTTTGTTCTAATTTTTTGCCCATGCTCATGAAAAATTCTAAATCCGCCGTTGATAACACGGTTACAACAATCGAACACAAGACAAGAATGTTTCAGGATCACCAATCGAGAAAAAACAAGGGACAAAACAATTTCGTGAACTCAAATGCGGGTTCCAATGTCAACAAATCGTCATTTAATTCTAAGAAACCATCCAATTCATCAAGCACATAAGGCACATAAATTATAAATAAAACCAAACGACAATCTTAATTCACAACTTAGCCATTTTGACTTTCAACAAACATTGAGCTTCATGAAAGAGAAGCTACACAAACACACAAAATCGGTCCATTTAACAACAAAACTAAGAAAAATAAATCTAAAACTAGATCGATCCACCACATAAGCATAAAAGATTCTCAAAAATCTCCCCACACTTAAAACAACACAATGTTCTCATTGCGTATCCAAACAAGTGAAAGGAAAAAGACAAGGAACGAACATAGTTATGCAATGGAAACGAGTCAAATGCACGAAAAGAACAAAACACCTAAGCAAGAGAAATAAGAAAAACAAATAAGGGTTGTTATTGTTATGATTCTAAGCATAGGGGTTGTCATCGTTGAGTGCGTCTTTTTGGGGTATAGTTCTAAGCATAAGGGTTGTCATTGTTATGATTCTTCTGCTCGTTGCATGAGACATGTAACCCTTGTCGAGGATCGTCATTTATCTTATAACCCCTCCACATACCCCACACCTTTTTGTTTTCACAGTCTACGTCATTCTTATGTCTCCCTCCTTGAGCCTGATGAATGCTTCCCAGGGATACCACCAGATTCCTCTGGCTTGAGAGGATATAAAAATGGTGAGCTTCATAACGAGCAAGAGAACATACTGTTACGTGGTGATGTCGTTTGGCTTGAAAAATGCGGGGGCAACATATTAAAGGTTGGTCGATCAAATTTTCAAAAACCAACCAGGGAGGAACATGGAGGTCTATGTCTATGATATGCTCTGTATTTTGCCTCGGGATATTACCTTTCTCTGTCAAATACATACAAGACCTTCTTATTCATTCACTGATAATCGAACAACAATTGCACCTATGGATCTTCACTTACAGCTTCGTCCCGCTGATGGTACACCCTTTGAGGATCTGTCTCGCAATCGAAATATTATAGGTAGTCTCGTTTACCATACTGTTACTAGGCCTGACATTGCTCACGTTGTTCATATAATGGTTCAATTTGTGAGTGCTCTTACTTCGGTTCATTTTGGACATTTGGTTCATGTGCTACGGTACTTAAGGAAAACATCATCGCAGTTTTATTATATGCTCGTGATAGCATGCTTTAGTTCCATGCTACTCGAACTCTATTTAGCAAGTAATCCAATAGATTGTCGTTCTATCACTGGTTATTGCATTTTTCTTGGTTCTACAGCTCTTACATTGATGTCCAAGAAGCAAGCACTTGTATCTCAGTTTAGCACAGAGGAAGAACTTCGAGTACTTGCTAATACCACCTCAAAAATTATAGGGCTTCAATGGTTGTTACCATGTGATGCTCCTACACTTCTTCATTTTAATAATACTAGAGCAATACAAATTGTCAATGATCCAGTGAAGCATGAACTTACAAAACACATGTCGATGCTTCTTTTACCCGGTCTCACTTCATCAGAAAGCAGTTGTTCTTCAGTATGTGTCGTTAGAACTGCAAGTGACTAATTTTTTCACCAAAACACAAATTAGAGAGCAACATCAATTTCACTTGCTCAAACTCAATGCTTCGGATCCTCCACCTCCACCTTGAGTTTGAAGGGATTGTTAACCCTAAGGTTCGTAACAATATATACTTAAGGCTCCAAGTCTCTGTATATGAGCATCTTCAGATGTGAATTATTCATTCATCCAAAACCCTAAGGTTTGTAACAATAATTTTATGAAGAAGTAACGAACCATTTATTGAAGATGCTCTAACAAATGGGACACTAAAAACAGTATCCAAAAGGAAATGCAATCTTAAAAATTGCCGGGTCTATTAAACTACAAGACAAATGCGAGGAACTAGCAAAGATAGTTTAGAGCAAGGATGTTTAGCCCACTGCCTAGCTTAAACAAAATTTCATTCTCATCTGATCCCACACCAGGAGTCGCCCTCAAAAGCATTCTGCAATTCGTCCTCTCTCATTTATTTTTCACAAACTTTGTTTTCCCTTCCAATTCACACAACACTAATAATAAAATATGGCAACAAACCAATTCCAGTTCAGTCAGCCTCACTCACAAACTACGTTTGATATTTCTCACCTACGGCAGAAGAATGAGAAATCCGGGTGATTGACACAAAGCATGTTTAGCCAATCATCAGCCGATTGCAAGAGGGAGTTTGCTAATTGTTGATTCTCCACATTTGGAGTCCAAATAGATAGTTTATATTTATATGAAGCCAGGCCGAATGCTGGAAGTGAAATTTGGGCCATACCATCACTCTCAAACGGATACGTAACTTTGGGAGGATGTGGGACTTCATGCCCTGCACAAATGAAAATGGAAAAATGAGCAACACTTTATGCAGCTATTGAACAAATGAAACACGAAAGGGATTTAAAATCTTCGAAAATGCGAAAGTGTTAAAAAATGATGTGGTAGAGAGCTGGGTTGAGCTTTTACCATTCAAGGGAGTATGAATGGAATGAAAGGTGAGAAAGCATGCATCCGAATCTTTAAGAGTTGGTCCTGTAGGTATTCTGTAGATAGGATACCTACAAAGTAGTTTTTTTTTAATTAAACATAAGGTTAGCCATTCACATGAATCAGCAACTAGGTTGTCCACAACGACATAGAAAAATATAAAATATACCAGGCTACAGATATCCAACTCGATGGAAGCAGATCACAACTTCTGAGGGTTTTGAGTTCAGGGAAGTCGTGACCAAGATCAAACAACTGAAAAAAATCAAACTTAGTGTGAGAAAAAGGAAGAATAATACAAGAACAGCCTAGAGGTTTGTCAATAATCACTCGAAATTGCAAATATTTTCTTAAAGCATTAGATACAACCTCCACTGGTTTTTATTGACTTAACAAATGCCCTTACATAGAGTGAAATTTGGAAAAACAAAGGCAAGAAATGAAATACTATGTTATATAATAAAACCCATTTAAAAAAAAAAAAAAAATCGCGCGTAAAGAGAAAATGACCTTATCTGCCAAAGGTTCCCTGCAATATGGTTGGTCCCGTGCAAAATACTCAAACAGCAAGTGATTTTGTGAACTTCCAGATTCACTTTCATCACTAGAAAAGCCTTCTTGAAATGCCGTAGGGTGCTCTCTCGACAACAATTCATGTACTCTATCTTGTTCGCTATCACTGCTTCCATCACTACATGAATCCCTTGAGGAGTCACTATCACTTTCTTCACCAAGCCGCCTACACACAACAATAGAATAACTTATAAGAACAAGTGATTGTGATTAATGAATAAGCCCCTATATGCACAAGGAGAAACTAAATCAAAGAACGAGGACATCAAAAACAAATGACAGATACACAATTGTGACATTAAGAACAACCACCACAAATACATTGGATATGAAATTCATAGACGGATAAAATAATAAATAAATGAAATGAAACAGAAGCTATGAAAGGAAAAGGATAACTAGCAAAACCCCTGGAGATAATTTAATTTTAAATAGGGCATCTGCTATTAACCAACAAAATATAGCACAAAGGCAATAGGTAAAACTGCCAACAGCCCTTTGCTTTCTCTGTAGCTAATGTGCAGGCAACTGCTATTTTAGTCCAGATCAGAGGCCAACCACTCATTACTTATATTCAATGTGATGATTCCGAGCATAATAAAGTTGGCCCGGGTTTCATACGAAGTAGAAATAAAATAGGGAGAGCAAATCTATGGGAATATAGCAACTTGTTCACACAAAGAATGACCAACTTCTACTCTCTGTAACCTGGATAACATGATTCGAGGTTCAGCGACCATTTGTTAACAAAAATACAGTCTGTGAACTTACAGTTTGATAGAATATAAGCGCCGAAAACAAATACCTTAAGTTCGATGTACTCTTAGATAGGTCAGCATATAACTGAATCCCAGACAAATAGGGCACATAGTACTGTACAACAGTATCACTGTCATTCAATATTAAAGGCACCCCAGCACCATAGGCGCTCCATTCTTTGAATGAAACCCATAAATCACTAAGCACAAAATATGGCTGAGCCTCGACATTGCACATTCTCTTGTTCCTCACTGTCATCTGTATCATTTAAAGATAAACAAAACAAACAGAAAAAGAAGAGGTTTGTCAATCAACAAATAGCAATACAATTAACAAAGACGACTGATATGCGTAAACTGAAACCAGCATACTACTCTGCAGAGAAGGCATTCACAAGTCTTACTTTATTCTTGATCGGTGAGTCACTCGACTGTCCTTCAGCCATATCAGAACACATGAAACAGAACACTAATACTCTTAAATGTCGATTTTTGTAACCACACGATCATTTTAAACAGAATTTTTCACCACTGTATATTGCTTTAGCACCAGAAACGTCATCATCAAAAATTTACTACTGCAAACACTATAAGCCAGAAGGTCCAAACTTTCAATTACTCTTAATAGAACTGAATCTATCATCTTTCATATAAAACATCATTTTATCATTTATTGTCATTTTAGTTTTTAAAATATCACAACTAAAGGGTATCGTATCATCTTTCAAATAAATCAACCAAAAATTGAAAGAAGTAAATATAACCTTAGGTAAGTACTGTGCAGGCACCGAAGGCGTGACCGATTCCAGAAACCTTTCGAGATTACAACAAGGCGAGAATCTTGACTCTACCGGCGAATCTGTAGCTGCCGACTCAGATTTCTCCGGTGGTAGCTCATCACTCCGGCTCCGCAGCGAGGCTACGTCACTCTTAGCCCTCCACACAAAATCTCGACTCCGGCGAGCCCTCGCGGCGCTGTAAAACCCATCGCCACCGTTTCTACTCTTATTGAACCGAACTCCGGCCCCCAACATGATTTATGCCCCAACAGGAAAGAAAAACCCAATCTTCACCGATATAAATAGTATTCTTGTGAATGTTAAAGAACCACCCCAACAAGAAAGAGTATTTCTAATGGCCCATGAATATGGTTATCTCAGTTCAGGTGATTAGTGTACACTGTACAGATAATTTAGATGCAAATTCAACTAGTGTAGTCTTGGCTACTCAAACAAAAAAAAAAAAAAAAAA